AAATAAAGTATCTGTACAAAGTAAAAAGGTAGAATTAATGTATATAACTGTGGTAATCATTAAAAATATACAGTGTCTGATCACTTTACTGCAACTTTATTAATTTAAAAAGAAATTAAGATTTAGAATAATTTTCTTCTGATTTTCTACCCACAAGCAGTGTTTGTCTTTGAATTACATTAACTCCTCTTTGTTTTTAAAGAAGCATTAACATTTTCTGAAGTCTCTTGGCTACTTTTAATAAGTTAACCAATTCGCTTCAATACGAACAAAACAATGTTCAAAGTTTTGCTACCTTGCCCTGTAAGATTCAGTAATGAAAAACCCTAAACAGAATGGAAGAAGCAGCATAAGGAAGCTCAACGTTGGGGTACATGTGGTCTTTCTTAGCCTTAGCTGTCCTTATGCAAAAGCCTGCTGAAAGAAAGATGCTCTCTTGGAAGAGCCTCCCACCAACTTCTTTGTTTCACATTTCCAAAGCTGTAATACCCGATGTCACGCTACAAAGTTTGGCTGTACAAGCTCTGTGCTGCTCTAGCAGTTTTGTTCTGCCCATCTGTAGAGTGTTTCTGTTGGGTGGTTTGAGGTTTTCCTCTGCTTGGACAACCCCACACATTTCTACAGTAGCTTGGGATCTAAGCTTAGTCTGACAATTGATGGTAAAGCATCGCACAGAACAGGACAAACTTGACGTATACAAAATAAACTGCCACACTCTGTAGCAACTGGACCTTCCCCAGGCACGGAGGACTTCATGCCTAGGTAGTCAGCACTACTGCAATCTAGATGGAAGGTAAAGGCAGCAGAGATAGCAAAGAGTTGCATCATCTGCCGTGATAAAACAACATTACCACTAACCAAAAATTACAAAGGAGCACTATATGCAAGTTTGTACACATACAGCACAGGTGGGAGTTTAGTATCAGTTAAGTTTTGCTAGGATTCAATTTTCTAATCCAGTCTGATCTGGATAAAACACAAAACCATCATGCAACTACTAGTAGGGTCCTGCAGAGTGAAAAAGAGAAGTATGTATTAGTTGTGTAGTGCTGGCATTTGCTGTTGTTTAACCAATTCACCTAGAGACCAGTCATGCATTTTCAAAAGAACCAGACCTAACAACCCTAGGGATAAAAGTCCTCTTTCCATTTCTACTTCTTGGTTGCACCTCTTCAGAAAAGATTCAAAAGATTTAAACCATTTGTAGATTGCTGCCCCTTCTTAGTATCTCACAGCTGATGGTAGCAAATTTAGCACAGAAGTGAAGCATAAATGTCAAAGAAACACCATATTCATATAAAAAAGGACATAAACTTTCTTACACCTAAATAACTTTAGTTTTGTGCCCTGTCCTGAGATAAAATACAGCTGCATCTAGTTATCACCTGCCCAGAAATAAAAGGGCTATGAATCAGCTACAGGTCAGGGTCCGCCCAAAATGGGCAGGACACTAAAACAAAAGGAGGGGAAGAGGCTTAAGTGCTGGCTGTATTAAACAAAAGACATACCAATCACACAATGGCACTGGTTAGATTTCTGTCCTGAGCTAAGATTATTTTGTTTTAGATTGTCTGTGTCACTGAATCACAGAATAGTTTGGGCTGGAACAAACCTTAAAGATCATCTAGTTCTGACCCCCCTGCAGTGGGGCAGGGACACCTTCCACTAGACCAGGTTGCCCAAATCATCTGTGGGATGGCTCACTTTTCTCTTTGAAAGCAAACAGGCTTCTGACCTGATCTGAAAAACATACAGGAATTATTCACTGTGAACACAGGACTAAGGTTATTTGTGACCACTAGATCTGATCTACCCACCAAGAACACAACACTATTATGAGGGATGCAGGTAATGGAGAAATGCTATTGAAGGAAACAGCTCAAGTGTATTTTATCTTTTTATTGAAGTTCATAATATTGTGTGGTTTTGTTCTAATGCAGACTGTAGATACTGGATACTACCTGAAGTCGTTTACCACCTTAGACTGTCCTTAAAGGAGTATCTGGTATCTCTGAAACCATACTTTTCTAGTATTTACTCACATATTAGGCTTAAAAGAAATTGTTTAATCCTATTCAGATGAGTTGACTTCCTTTTAGACATAAAACTGTGCTCTTTGAAACTTACTTCGCCAGTAACAATATACAGGCTTCAGAAGTTTCTCATCCATCTGTAAAATCATTACTGTACGGTATTTTCACCCATCAACATGCTGGCTCCTCAGAGGATCTCCTTCCCTCTGAACACTGGGCAAACTTCGATTTTTGACACTTTGCAAGGAATAGGAGGGGAAGAACATATGATAATAACAACAAAGCACAGTATAAAAACCATTTTCCTGCTCAATTAGTACCCCAGACAATTTCTCTGGCTCTCCCACGCAGTTCTAGAAGTACACAGTGTACAGCTCTATGACCAGTGCCAACAGACAAGGCCTTGTGAGTAGGAGTTAATTAGACAAAGAGAAAAATCTTGGGACCTCTCAGCCAAATATTCTTCCCTTCCCACAGTTTTTTCTGTAGGCCATATAAAGATTTAAAAACAGTCCAGTCTTACTTTCCATTGTTCATCTAAGAACTGCAGGACTAGAGCAGGAACTTTCCTCAATAATATTTGAGTCTTTTGGAAGATGCAAGCACATGAGAAACAGTTTTTCACACCTCCAGAGAAGCAAGCGAGCTGGTAAACACTAAAAAAAACATTTCTTACGTGTATGATGCACCCCTGCTATGCAAGAGTTGACCAGCTGTCCTGTGCTCCTCCGGCCCTGCTCCTCCCAACCTCTAACCTTTCTTTTCCAGTCCTCCTGCTCCTTTCTTCTCCCAGTTCTTCACTCTGCATTGGGTATCTACCCTAATGAACAACCATCATTCAAAGGGGCAGACTAGAGGATAACAAATAAGAACTTTTAGCCATGAAATCCATGTCACTGTTTACAGAGGACAGCTTTCTATGAAATACAGCTGTGACTAAATGAGCCAAAGCCACCTATCTGTCAACTACTTCGGAACACAAATCATTTGTAAACAACATGTCTCATTTCTCCAGGAGGCTAGAAGCAAACCAGAATTTTCAGTCTCTCAAACTCAGGAGAGAATGAGAAAAAGCAGACAATATGAAAAACACGCTTGACTGAAAAACATTTTTGTTCACTGCTTAAAGCTTTAAATGAAAGAGACCCAAATTCTGAAATTCTTTCCTAGAACTAATATTCAAATGCAGTAACCCACAGATTCTTCCCATTCATAAAACTCAGAATTTAAAGACGATTACCGCAGGAACATTTTTATCTGCCCTATGATACCGGACAGCAGGGAACGGCACCACAGATCTGATGTCATCCTACTTAATCTATTAAAGTTTTTAAAAGATAAATAATACTATGGAATTACTGCACCCTAATACTATCACTACTAGTTCACCTGACTGACTTGGACTTGTTTGTTTGTTTCTTTCTTGCGGGGGTGGGGACAAGATACATTTTACAGTTGTTCAAAAATCAAGACTGGAGCAAGAACTAGTAAACTCTCCCATTTTAACTGGCTGCAAAGCATGCAGAACAGGCAAACAAACTGGATCCACCAGCCAGACTAGGCTAGCACACAGACGGTTGACCTAGTAGAGAATTGACCACCTCTAGGATACCCTAAAGGGCACAAATGCTTTTAAAGTGTCTCAGCATAGTTATACAAAGTATTACACTGGGGCTAGAAAGAATATTACCTTGCACCTCATTGTGATGGATATATCCAAAGCCACGCAAAGTGCAGCTATGACGAAGTACTGCTATTCAGCAATGGCCCACCCTTTGCTAGAGCAGTTACTAGTTACTTTGCTAGTTCAGTTAGCTGTGGTATTCCATATGCTTTCAACAGCATGTCAAATGCAGATGTCCCTAACAAGACAGAAGTAAGTCTCTCAACTTGCATTGCAAAAGGGCCTTTCAATTTCTTCAAATAGAAATGTCTACAGTGGAAGGGAAGAGATAAAATAAAGCATACTAATCACAGTTGAGAAGACCGCAAAGCACGAGTGGCAGACTTTGCTTTGGGAATTCAGGGCAAATAATCTGGAAAACAGCATTAGCTATAAGTGCCATGAGAACATACGTTTTCTCTCAAGTTTGTTCCTTTTTTCCTACAGTCTGAAATCAGCCCCTTAAGTCATTATTTTCCAAAGTAAAGTACACTAGTTTTCTTATACATGATTGGTTTGCATGATGAAAAGTCTGGTGTTTTTATTTTTAAAAACATAGCAAAAAAAGTGAGAAGAAAATCACTTTGAGGAGCTTTTCCAGTAGTACTTAATAATAGTCTCACTCCTACAGCACAAATAATACTAAACAAACTGTTCTCTGCAGTGAAAGGAAAATGAGGAATGAGCTAGTTTATGGAGATGTACACTTGAGTGCTGACCATTTTTCAGACTACTTCATGAGGTATTTTTGAGTGGGTATTCAGGACAACATGAAGTTTACAGTGTAACTGATCAACTTACAAAAACCAAGCTGCTTTCCAAGAAAGATCTTGCAAGGAGAGTACAGGAAAATTAGTCTTTGACACTTAACTATTGAAAAAACCCCTTTTCTACTCCAAGCCTGGTGTACCACTGTTCTTTCTATCAAAGTTACTGTGGAAAGAACAATTAAAACCATTTAAGCTGTCAGTAGTCTTAAAATGTTTGTAATAGTTTTAAAAAAATTTAACCAGAAATCAGAAAATTCTCTATTTGGAAAAGCCTTCAGGCATGGCTGATTTTCCTAGTTAGCTGACAAAGAAAGTGTTGCGTCCACACTCACCTGAAAGCACACAAGGAGCAACTGATTGCTCTTCTGATCCCACAAAAGTGTGTCCTAACATGAGCAACAAGTGGAGAGACACTGAGTCAATGTTCCGAATTCTGTATCACATAAGGAACACCAGGTAAGAGCACAAAGTGGCTCCTTCCAGACAGGCACACCACAACTAGGAAAAGGAGAAAGTTGACTCGAAATAATCTAGAAAGCCTTAAAATATAAAAGTTTATTTAGCTACAATATTAAAAAGTACAATATAAAGATATAAAACATAGAAATTCCATAATTAATTCACATGCTAAAAGGATTAACTGACCAGCCGTAAGGAGACTTCATGAAATTTATGGACGTCTTAGCCATAAAGGCTATTTCATCAACTTTCAGACTTGAAATATTGAACAACCATTGCAGAGAACTTGCTCTCCCACATCACCATAACTAGGAAAAAAAAAAAAGAAAACCAAAAGAAAACCAAAAGAAACAAAGTCAGTGTCTCTCCTGTTTCTGGAACACAAACAACACCATCCTATTCCATTATCAACTGTAACCACAGGACTCCCACACAGCACACTCAAGATTTCTTTATATTGTACAACTGTTTAACAGTGATGGCAAATGCTTAGGATTACTCCTTGGAAGTTCATTCATTCATCACTAGCCAGCATACTCTACTGCTGGTGGGCAAGCAAGAGGAATTTTTGCCTCCTAGAACATTTAAATGAGAAGCTAAACTAGATTTGCACTAAGATTGATTAGACTATGTCACATAAGCATTTTGTCTTCCATGTTTCAGACAGCTTTACTGCTGCTAATGCAACATGAGAAAAGTTCAAGTCCTTTACATGGATAAGCTAGGTATCTGTTGGCTTTTCACCTGCTACAGCCAATTTTCAGAGCATACAGAACTAAAATAATCTTAAAAATTCAAACGGCACTTACTCGATAGTGGAGCACAAAGAGCAGGTAACTGTGTTACAGCAGCTGCAGAGCTTGCTGCAGTTCTGGCAGACGAACTGGTCGCACTGCGTACACGCTTCCTTGACATCAGCAGTTCTCACACACGATGAACAGGCTTTGGAAACTCCCACGGGTGGAACTGCTTGGGAAAGATGCAATTAAGACGAGACGTACTTTAGAGCGAAACAGAGAAAGCACCTGGAAGCTCCAAGGGCGGCAGCGCGGGGTATCTCCTGGTGCCAGCGCTTCACTGAACGCACCAGCAGGCACCAGCACGGGGCCCACTGCTTCAAACTTTGCTGGTGCTTTTTCAGCTCGACGGCAAGACCACTAAGCGATTCTCACGCAGACCACACGCGCAACAGTTTCTAAATCCGCCAGTGAAGCTCAAATCTAACGCTTTCTTTTTTTTTTTTTTTTAAAAAAAAAAAGAGGCGAAAAGGGAAGAACCACCAAGGGGCGCCCCCCGCCCCAGCGTCTGCCAGGGGTAGAGGGGAGACGGGGAGCCGCAGCGCCGGTCGCCCGCCCGCTGCGGGGCCACTCACCCTTCTCCGCGGCGCTGGCGGGGGCTGCGGGGCGCCTCAGCAGTTTTCCGTC